CGACTTCCTTCGTGAGATTGGCCAGTGCCTCGCCCGTATGTGACTCGGCTAGCTCGCGAAAGTCGAGCATCGCGCTGACGGGTTCCCCATTTTCCTCCCAGTGAGCGGAGTAGGCAACGAAGGCGCGATGATTAGGCGAGGTCCACGCATCCGTGGCGAGGGCGATACGACCGGGATAATTCTATTAGACGTGGTGAGTACCCATTATCAGTATAGTTGAAAGGAAGACTTACTTGGAAAAAGGTTGCTAGACGACGACGTGTTTTCCCAAACAGGACCTTGGTGTCGCGAGAGATCGTGGTGGGATGCGGGATGTACGTCTCGGGACGCCCGCTTTTCATGAGCTTTTCAAATGCTCGATCCTTGACGATGCTGAACGGCCGGAACGACTCAGCAACCCAACGAACGCACTCGGCGCTGTACGAGGGTATGGTAAGCACAATATTATTGAGCACGATGAATCATACTCACCGGACTTCAGGCTTTGTTAGAGGGACGTGCGAGAAGATTCGGGCCCCAGCCTTCTTGAGCTTGGTAAAGGCCGTCGTGAGTAGCCCATTCTTCTTGCCGCCATGTTTCTTGACGAGGCCGCGTGCCTTATCCAGGTTCTGCATCTCGAGCGCCGCTGTGACTGTATCCTTACCCCAGCAACGGATGGCATGGTCCTTGAGGTTCTTCGTGGACGTACGATCCTGTGTCTCGAGGTTGCGAGCGACGCGATGCTTGCAGCCGCGAGCGGCGCAGGTGAACATATGATGCTTTTGATTTTTACCACTCGTTTTGTTGCGCCGATACTCGATTGCCATTTCGGGACGGAAGAATGCATAGATCGGGGTGCGTAGATGTTTGCGGATATTTTCTGAAGAATACTGATTAATATATGACAGGGCTTCAAGACGAAGAACATACCAAGCTCCTGCTCATCGGTCAGCTCGACAATCTCGACCTCAGGCGACGGTGAGCGGACAGATGGGACACGGGGACCTTGACGGCCAGAACGAGGCTGTTCCTCGATGTCGTTGTCGACCTCGGCTGTACGACTTGGTCCAGCCGAAGATTCAGCTTGACGGCGACGTTCGTCGTAGCCGTCTCCCATGTCCTCGACATCCTCAATGACAGTACGGCGACGACGGACTGGGACGGGCTGAGGGATGTCATCGTCGACGTCCATGCCCATACCGTCGGACGAGAGACTGAAGCGGCTAGCAGCGGGTGAGGATGCCTGGGAGGAGCGCATAGACTCCAAGGCCGGCATGTTGTCCTCCGACGGCGCGAAAGAGCTCGCGTCGTTGAACGCAAACTCGCCTAAAAAAAAAATTTAGCAAGGATGTCTACTGTACCGTTTCGACCGCATGTTCGCATAACGCGTCACGCGGCCGTCGGAACCTAACTTAGAGCTAATGATAACGCGTAACGGGGCCTCATTTCAGGGCTGCATCGCCCAAAACGGCAATTTTTCGGGCCCGCCTGCGGCGGGACTTCCAAATTGGGCCTTGTGCCTGAAAACGAACCTATTTCCTGTAAGTTCGCGGCATAACGCGTCACATGCCGCGAACTTACGGTCGAAACGGTACAGTAGATGGGATCGGCGGAGTACCTACTCTCACTGTCCGTGGCGGTGACGAGGCCAGGAAGGGACGACGACGACGAGGATGTGCGCATGCTGAACGCCTTCTTCGTCGAGGCTGCTTTTTTAGGGGGAGACAGAATGGTAACAACTTTTTTGAAGGTATTACCGACGGCTGATGCCGCTTTTGCAGTGCGTGAGATTTTGGGCTGAGGAGGTCCTCCAGAGTCCGACGTGGGCTCTGGCGACTGCGACGCTTGTCGTTTGGCGCTGGGTCGCCGCTCGCGCGGTGGCAGCTTCATGATCGAGGCGATGAATGAGGACCGGAGTTGTGGCGATGTCGAATAGAGTTGGATGGAAAGAAGCGACGATGGATGTCGTTGACGGGAGGACCCTTTATATTGTGTTGCACTTATTTACGGAGGCAAATTTTTGTGTACTGCGAACGGAATCTAACCTTGCTGTACCTCCTAGCCAGTTTCGACGCCACGGGTGACACGGGTAACCTGTGTCACACCGGGTTTTGCCGGGTTCCCAAAATGGAACCCTCACCCGAACCCGCGGCTACCCGAACCCGCGACCCGGTCCGGGTTACCGAACCCGCGCTACTGTACTATTTCGATCAATTCGTCAGGTCTTGTGACCTGTGACCGGGTCTGACGAAATTTTCGTTTCGTCAGATTACCATATATGGCAATAGCCGACGCGGCGGAGCTGCGTCGGGAGGCCAGCGGGGGCCCCGCCCGGGGGTTTTTCGCAAAATTTCCAGTGACCATTGTGACATTTCGTCAATTCGAAGGTCCTTGTGACCTGTGACGAACGAATTGAATGAAATAGTACAGCGATCAACCCAGATCCTTTCATTAATCCTCTGAGACCAAAGACTCTGAAGACGCTCAGGTGTCAACCAACACACGGGAGCATTCTTATTTTCAATCACACGTTCACGTCGCTGGGAGCAAAGGACTTGTCACTGGGGTTTAGTCTTTAAACCCATTCTCTGTGTTACCGAGTCGGGCATTCACCGCCACACTTAGAGGCTTGTGGAGCTTTCTAACGGACCGCAACCCCTGGAGCCGCGCCTTTCGCGCCGTTGATGACATAAATGAGTTTGGTGGACGACGGGATGATAGCCGGAGGATCGCACAGGGTGGTGGTCGGTGGCGGGCGGCAGTTGGATGACGGGTCCATGTACAGCGGAGAGTAGTATCTTTGTTTGAATTTGAGCACCGCCATCGCAACGAGGGGCGCTTCGCTTGGTGGCCTAGACTACGGGAATGCGCAGGCGTCGATACATGTGTAGAGTCGCAGTCATTATTGTGATGCGCCGTGTTTGAAGGGGGCTTCGGGGTCGGGGATTCGGTGAAAAGGTGAGACTCGCGTTTCAGATGTGTGAGCGTGAGAAAGTAGTGGAACCTAAAATGATGGGGTGGCAAGGGGATGAAAGTCGCACTTGCCATGAGCACGACGACGTCGCGGCGCCCCTCGTTGCGGGTGGATATAGGAATGCGGCCACTCCCGCCACCCCCGAATGCGCACAACAACAACAACGGCAGCAGCAGTATCGCGAGCGGCAGCACGAACGGGACGAGCAGCAGCAGTATCAGTGGAGGATGGATGACGGGCAGCACGCCAGCGACGAGCCCACCGTCGGCGTATCAGCCCTCGCAACGACCGCTCCCGCAAAGGCCGAAAGTGGGTCCACGGGGGATGCGGACGACAAAGCGCTCACGGTCCGCATCCGAGTCGCGGGCGCAGATCGCTTTTGATGCGTCGAGTGGGTCCTGGGTGGTCGTGCCGCCCGACCACGCTCCGCCGTCGGTCAAGGACAAGGGAAAAGGGCGGGCGCGGGATCCACCGCCAGTCGCGCCCCTCAGCATTCGCAAACACAGCGCCAGCTCCAGCCGTCCGCGACCCACGCCCCCCGAATTCGACCTCAACGTGCTCTCTCGGGCACACATGGCAAAGAAGCTCATGGTGCACAATCCAGACGACGAGGAGGACGCCCCTCCACTGCACAAACATGTCATTGTCGAGTATGGCAGCGAGTCAGACCACTCCAAAGAGTCAAAGGAGGAACAACGCCAGAGTTCTCCGTCTCCCGATCCAACTCTATTCCGCTCATACGTGGACATTGTCCCTGCAGTAGAGCGATCACCATCACCCATGCGGTATGCACGCCGCGACTCACTCGATTCGCTCTATTCCCCATCTCCCTCACATCGCAAAGCGTCACCTCCACTCTCCCCCCTCTTCACAGGTCCTTCACCATCTCCCCACATCGAAGACACCATCATCTTCTCTGACAATCCGTCACCCACGTTAGACGATGACGACCTGCTCGATCTACCTCCACGACGACGCAAGACTCGAGCACGGAGTCTGTCACCCAGTGTAACATCAACATACGCTCCATCATCACAGTATGCTCCCTCAAACTATGCTCCATCCCAATACGCACCCAGCATATCCAGCCACTCCTCCCACCCCAACTCTCGCACACACCTCACCTCTTCCCCCAAACCCTCCTTTGACCGCGAACGCTTCGCACCTTCCTCCACCTCCTCCTCTGCCCCCGCGTTTGACCCGCAGCGTTTCGCCCCCCTGCAGTCCCTCGCGCCCTACAATCGCGGCCGCGATCCCGCCAAAAAGCCACGCTTCCGCGCAAAGGTCGTCGTTCCATGACTCGCTCTCCATGTTGTTGTACTATAATTTATTCCCATACCCAGATGTACATAAATAGACCATACATGCTTGCTTTCATTCACTCTGTCGTTCCTCCCCAAGGGCATCAAGCGCCGATGATACGCATAAATCTTGGATGATCCGCACTTTTTCTTGGAGCGAATGCTGCGCGTTACCCTCAATTCAATAGACGATCCGGAGATACAAGGCGCTCGCCACGAAACCGGAGATTGCGCGATGCGGTCGAAACACAGATGTCTACCAGTCTGTTCCTCATGTCAGACCCAGACATACATAGCCTTCTCACCGCTGATGAGTACATCGTCCAGTTCACTCGTGCAGGTTGATCTCAAGAACGAACAACAGAATGAACGACTCGATGATCAACCAGAAAAAACGCCTCCGTCGCACGTCGACCTAGTTGCGAACTGAGAATTTATCTTGTACAAGTACGTATTTGATCACATATGTGCGATGACCAGCACCACACGGGTCGAAACTCTTACCACGAGTTCAGCTACCTGCAAGACTCTCAAAGTCAACTTTCACGAGACGCGCTGAGACCTAATAGAAAAAGTTGACTCTTCTGTTCTTCTATTACTCCACAGATTGCCCAGTCTGACAACCGTTCATTCGACTGTGACCTGATTAACCCAGTGCTTCGACCTGACGACTTTATCAAGTTTATGAACGTTGAAATGGAAAGCTCCGAGCAACAACAACAAAAAGAACGACGACTGGAGAATAATGAGTCGACCCAGGCTCGAACTGAGGACCTTCTGTGTAACTCTCTAATGGATGTTTTGTGGATGTTAGACAGATGCGATAACCAACTACGCCATCGACCCATGAAATGCATTTTCGCCAGTCAATCAGCACCACACAACGCCACTATGCCTCACAAACCACTCAGAATGACATACATAAAAATAACCTTAAACCCTGTATCTGCAACATCGAATGGTATTTAACGAGTGTAGTTAGTTAGCACTGTACCAATCGCAGAGATTACAAATCACAGATATCAAACACATCGATAAACTAGATGGAAAAAAAGTGAGAAACCACGGCGCCAGATCCCAAATCGCCGGCGTGAGGAGGAGGGGAATATGTAGAGTATAAAAAGGAAATAGAGCTCGCTCTGGACGGGTATATTGGTATCGGTATTCGGCAGTCATCTACCTCCCACCTCACCCCAACATCAAAAAAAAAACACCATAAAACAAATGGAAACACACAGGTCTCTACTTGGCCTGACCAACGTCGTCTTCAATGTTTACATCGTACGCGCCCCGGCTCGCACTCATGGCCCCCGGCCCCGCGGGGATCAACGTCCGCCGACGCTCATTCGCAGGGCTCATCGGCGGGCTCATCACGCGCATGCCTCCAGGTGACGACGCACCGCCGGCACTTCGCCCAGCAGCATATGCACGCAACATCTCATCAGGGCTCATCGCAGAGAACCCATTGTTTCCAAACGGACTCGAGCCGAACGCACTGGTAGGGGAAGTGACCGGAGAAGAAGTAAAGAGTGTCTCGCCACGCATCGCGGCGGCAGGCGGTGCAGCAATGTACTGTCCAACGATATCCTCATCGTCATACATCGAATGCGGGTTGTTGTTATAGACCGAGCTGGTTTGAATGTCGTATGAAGACGCGCGGCTGTTAGAGTCGGCACCGTAAGAACGCATCACTACCGTCGACGATAAGTTTCCATCACAGAGACAATGAGAAAGTACTTACTGTCAAGAGCAGGTCCAACATCATCTTCTCGACCACCAGCGATGCTGATGCGAGCGCGGATGGCTTCAGGAGTAAGGCTCTCAGGACCCTCAGTCTGCGTCGGGCTAAGTATTCCGTTATCAAAGCTGTCGTTGCTGCCTTGCCGAGTGGGAACCGGAAGCGGAGGTGCGAAACTCTGGTGGAAGGCGCGGCTCTGTCCAACAGTCGACCGCCTAGTCTCACCACTCTTCCGAGTACCCTCTGCAAACGAAACGCGAGAAACACGGTCCCCACCGGTGAACTGGCTCTGAGGCCTGAGCTGCGCCATCTGTGGGTCAGCGTCAAACTGTGACGCGGGGCGGATACCGCCAAACGAGAACGAGCTGTTCCTCGGGCCGGTCCCGACAGACATGCTATTCCGAATAGCAGCGCTCGCACCCTGGGCACTAAGCGACTTCCAGTCCGTGGAGATGGTCGACATGCGCTTGTCGACGTGCTCGGTAAACGCCTTGGATTTCTCCGAGCGCTTCCTACGCTGCCAGCGGATGTACGCATAGACACAGACAGCGGCGAACAGAAGAGGGAAGATAACAGCAGCAGCCACGCCACCCTTGGTGATATGGGACCCAGAGCTCTCCGAGGCGGCACCGACAACCTCGACCCCCGAATCGGTCTTTGTGGTATCCGCAGAAGCCGGGGCACCAGAGGCCGGTGCGACATAGGTAACGTTGAAGATGGGGCCAGCAGCAAGGGTGCTAAGGAATGGACTGGCGCCCCTTTCCACGATACGGAGCTGGAGCTGCACGTTGGGGGCGTTCTTGTACCACCGCTGCATGATGGTGGCATTGTACGAGCCCTCATTGGTGACGCCCTGCCAGATGTTGAGCACGGACGAGTTGAGCGCCGGTGCGTAGAGATAAATGTCGACCGACGACGACGACAGGCACGAGGCCTTCCAGGTCACAGCGAGGGGCTCCAACGAGTCGTACGACTTGCCCGCAGCGGGGGCGCTGTACAGGCCGCCCTTTGCGCAGTCTGCCAGATAATCAGCTACTTGAGGAAAACGCCGTAACCAAGCGGTTGCTCACCAGAATCTGCCCGCTTGGAGGGTGTCCGCTTGCTGCCGGTGCCGTGGTACGCGCCAGCCAAGCCCACACGGAAATCTGCATGTCCCATCTTTTTTTTCTAATATGGCTTTTTCGTAACGAGCGTAATACAGCGGAGGTCGCTGAGAGGGAGGAGGGGGATTGAGATCAGAGATGGTGGTGGTTGACCGTTTCAGCAAAGCGTCGTTACGTAACCACGTTTATTAGGTTTTTTGTCACACGCCAAGATCGTGAGCGGGCCGTCGCTGTCAGTGTCGTGGTCTGTGAATGTGAATAGAGGCAAAGGATTAATGTCCGGGTGCATGTCAAGGGAGGTGGAAGACTTGCGCGTTGGCAAGAGGATCCTTCAATTTCATTTTCCATCTCGAAGAACCCCAAACACTGCGCATTGTGAATGTGAATTGCTTTATTACTTCCAGCATTGACGTCCTCGCGCAGATCATCTCCATTCGCTCCTTTCTCGTACCAGCGAACTGTAGCTCTTGTCTGTCCTCCTGTTATCACCAAGTGGACGCGTCGAATGTCTTTCTGCGACGATTAAACTCCTCTCAGGCGGTCAACGTCTTATCTTACTCGCTTCGATGTCTGGCCGATATGCGTGCATGCACGTCATAGATTCCCCAAGATCAGTTCCTAATCATTTCTAAGAATACTGAACGTTCATCACCAATCACAGTTGGTGGGAGGATAGCGTGTACGTCCACCGTACTCTGTCGCACCCAGTCCCATCACCACTGTGAATAAAGCCGCAGACCAGACATTCGAGATACTTACGCCTCGCGGCACTTTCCAGCCTGATTTTCAGGCGGCCGACTATCTTCGCGTCTTCTCACGCTTCAACGTCAACAGATCGCCGGTCTCGCGTCTCTCCGAGGAGAATCCTGCAGTCTCCGTTCTGGTGGAAAGGCAATCCTCGTTCCTCCGTGGGCCCCTCTGAGATACGGAGCGGTTCCTCCAATTCCTCAGTGCGCCCCAGCCAATAGAGCTGCATGTGGCTAAAAAAAACTACAGTCGACTATGCCTATTTACTAGGGGGTAAGCCGTATGCAAACGGCAGAGAGCTCCTCAAGTTGACCACTTGTCTCATATCCTTCCTGGGAGAAAGTCTAGATGGAACGTCAACGATGAATTCCAGTGCTTGGACACATCCTCGCAAGGAAGATATCAATGGTAAAAACATAATCGTTCATTGGCTTGAACTTTTCCAGACTGGGAACGACTCGACAGTCCCCGGAATATGTATGGCATTGGAAACAGTATAATCGACGCGTCGCAACGTGAGCAATTTCGTTGATATCTCGGAGTGACTCGGAGCTCCGAGGCAGGTTTTATTCGAATGAGGGTCTGGGAACGAGATGTTTGACGGTGTGGGACCAGAAATAGGAAAGTGTTCACTTTATCAGTCATCCTTTGCATTGAACGAATTCGCTCACAACCGTTTGATTAGGTTGACTCGCACCACTCATAATTCGTCCTTGACCTTGAGTCCTGGATCTAGCCTGACTTTTTCTTTTTCATCAAATCGATGAACGTGCGTATCCCACGTGTTCCGGCGCCTGTCCTTCTACTTCGATTCAAGAATTCCGTTAGACTAATGGACAGCTCAATCTTTCTTCTCTATGCCCTAGCAATATTTAACGAGTCTCGCTTATCCTAGAGCACTGGCGCGTCGTACTTATCTCGACGTCAACACCCTCGACCAGATCGTTTGCCAGTGCCACGTCAGATAATAGTACCTCACTTCGTTGATCTCCTTCTATCCTGTTCCTCGGCGGCTGACTCACATGATCCTCATCGAATCACACTGGACTAGCCAGTGAATCAGGATGTCTAGCGGCGAGTTCACCCTCTCAGGCTATCAAATGTTACTCACTGCCTGAAGACCTGCGACACCCTGTCCGTGCTTGAAAGGTGTCGTCGACACCAACTTGAAAGTGTACGGAACCGGGAACATACGTGTTGCATAGAGTCTATCAGTTGCCACATCGCATCTACGTCGCATTTGAAGAACTGTCTGGTCTTAGCTTCCGCATACACAATTGGAGAGGGGTTAAGTCCTCGATTTATTCGTTTGATTTACTAGGTAGTACTGCAGACATCATCCGAGGCGGTTTGGACTTACATTGACAACCGGAATGTATGACTCGGTCCTGGACCAGGAAATCTGTGGTGGGCCTCAGGTTCCAACAATAACACAGACCGAACGAAATGCTCGAAATCTAGAAGAAGATCGCAGGAACTTGAAGAAACCCTGCGAGACTCGATACTACAATCAGCCTTGAAAATAATCTCGTCCAGCGATTGTTGTGTTAGATCGTTGTAGTATCCCTGGGGCGACAGATTCTTCAAAATCTCCAGAAGTTGCCCTCCAGTAATATGTTCCGAATCGGCTCGGACTTGATCATACTTTCTCTGCAAGTCTAGAACGTATCCTGCAATCTCCTCCTTGGAGGCGCCTTCCCGCATGGCCTTAACCATCAGAAGGTGAACGGTCCTGCAGTCAAAGAGACGGTTCCAGATGTTGTCAGTGGGCTCCTCAGCATCACTCATGACATGGTCATTGGCATCTACACCGAGACGTCTGTGTATCGTTAATTGAGACCGTGTAAAGACGCAAGATGTAATAAATCGTACGGTCCACTGTTCGGGTTGTATCCGATATCATCAATGGCGAAACCGCCAACTTTACCACGTACCGCGAGACCCGAAGAAAAAGCGTCACGCAGTGTCGTTTTGGGTGGCACCGGCAATTCGCTATAGAGAGGCGGAGGGTCTTGAGGAAATTGGTGCGCGGACTATTGGGCATATCCTATAAGTACTGAGACTAAAAGAAGGAAACAGTACCAACATCCTTCGAGATCTCATCATCAATTATCATGACTAGGTTTGAAGATATTTGCAGTTGGGAATGTGGCGGCGACAGTCGTAACAAGAGGCAATTGTTTTGATAGAGAAGCAGAGTCGGTGCACCTTTTATACTTATGGGGCGTCAACAGCCCAAATGGAGGCTATTGTTCCTG